AGAGGGGGGAGGGAGGAGGAAAGGAGTTTTGGTTCGAGTTACCGCGAGGCTTGAAAACTCGAGAGTTCAAGAAATCGGGATTCCACTGTCATTGTTTCAGTTTTCTGAAAACTATAACCTGTGATTGAGATGTACAATACTTGACGAATATCAGTTCATGTCTAACCAGATAGCCATCTGTCTCAACTCAATAATTAGGAAGGTTTCCAGTTGCTAAGACGTTGTGTTGCCAAGGATCGTCTCTGACGAAAATTGCGCCCACTGACCTATATTTAGTATTAAGAGACAAGAATTTCGACCGATCGAGAAAGGCACTTATTGCCCCGATTTTTTTTGTAGACATTCCAGTGAAAGCTAAACATGTATTTAGCCTCCTAAATTACATAGTACAAAGAACCGCCGCAATGCCGAATTTCGCTTTGCTGGCTCGCTATGCGATTCAGGGGTCAGCAGGAAACATATCTGCCCTGAACCCCTCAAGAATGCTTCTGTGGTGAAGCGTTTCATTAAAACAATTTACACTTGCATTCATTTTCTGTTTTCAGGTTTTTCAATGGTTACTATGGAGCTTTCACTTTGTTCGAAGCCACTCCTGAATTTCTCAAAATCACGCAAATCAATGAGAATGGAAAAGAGTTGTACAAGGCACAGTTAAGACCAAGGAACTCAAGAACAGTCGTGGCTTTCGATTTTATAAAACCGAAAACACAACCGAAATTAACACCAAGTGTGAAACCGACATTAAAACCGAAAACGCAACCGAAATTAACACCGAAATCAAAACCGACAATAAAACCGGTATTAGTACCTCGCGGAATTAGTAACCTATGGGGCCGTTTATAGCTGTTTTACTAGCCGTTGTGGGTACCTTGGTTGCCACAGTCTTTTTATGTGCACTTTGGTTTTCCAAAGCGTGTAGAAATACAAAAAATCGAAACACCTGGACCAGGTTGCCTGAAGAGTCGAGTCAAGAATCTGAATCTGAAAATTGACTTCAGTTAATAGCTAAGTTGTACATCCACTATAAATGTATTTATATATAAGCATCTTTAGTTCCTCTAGTGTCGATCTTGTGATCATTCCAGCTCAAGGTTAGCCTACACGTCTTTCTTGTCAATGATAAAGGTTTTAGTTTCCGTACTGGTCTTGGAGGTTTAGTTTTTAACAATAGCTTATAACGGTGATCATGTTTGGTTTTGTCTACTGACCAATTGTTGAGGCCCTTCACTGAACGATTCCTGATTTGGCGTAAGTTCTTAACTGAGTGTTACACTCGTTGCATCAAGTGCTTTGCCTTTCATTTGCTGTAGTCGCATAAAAGTGTTTAGCTTAATGTACCGTAAAGACGTTAAATCCTCCAAGGTCAGTCGTTCTGTAAGCCCACACATGCCTACCGATGGACTTTCAAGTGCGTGTGTAGTCAATCAAAAGGAGTTTGCCATGCAAGTCACTGGAACGAGGTCAGCCAATGGAGATTAGATTCCTATGAACTCTCTCTACTTGTTGCCGAATGCCCCAATAAACTTCTATTTTCCTCTCAGTGGCGTTCATCCTTTCTCCAGCACCTCCCTCGCGCTCTACATTCTTTTATATTTTCATATAAGAGAGCGACTGGGGAGTCAGGTACTTGTATTCATGTCTTAGGTCTCGTGTCACCCAAGCTCACGATTCTTATATTCAGGGGTAAAATATACTGATTTACACGGATTATAACTAGGGCTGTCACTAAGGTGCTCCAAATCAAAAAAAAAAAAGAAAAAAGATGCTCAAAAGTTCTCAAAAGGTTGCTTGCTCAAACGTTGCTCAAAAGTTGTTCCAAAATCTTCACATTGCTTTTCACATTTTCTACAAGTTCTTAATTTCCCTACCAAAGAACCTTTTTTAACTGTTACTTGACTCCTCAGCATTTAATACCCTGCTAAGAAGAGTTGCAACCTTTTTTTGTAATCTTTTCGTTCATTATTTAACCCATCTGGCATGCTTACTCTCGCACTCCAGCGCTTTGGTAACTATCTCGGGGTCACTCGAGCATGAGGAATCGTACTCCGCCTCTACTCCGCCACTTTCAATTTTATTTAACACCCACTGCTGACCAGTTGAATCACCTTTTCAAACCAAAGGGAAACCAATGCGGACAATGTCTCACTTTGTGGAAAACTTAGAAATGTTTAGAATACTATGCCATATTTGACGATTGTGACCAAAAAATGCGAAAAATGTGCTTCATGAGTGCTTTATACGGCCAGTTTGGTCTTCATAATTTTGCTGTATTGTCTTAGAACATAAGAAGTTGCCCCAAATTAGAAAAGTTTCCCGAAATTGAAAAAGTTCAGTGCCCAAAAGTTTCCGAGCTTCTTAGGGACAGCCCTAACTATAGGTAGAAAAGGCATTTAACAAAAATGGTGACTAATTAAATAGCGTTTGTAGTCTTTATACGGACCGGTTGACAAACAATATAGAATCATAAATAAACAAAAATAACATTATTTCAGCAAGGGACCACTTCACCAAAGGTGCTCTTCCATGGAGCTTTGCAAATAGAAAATATAACATTATGCGTTTGGAAAATTTAAAGGATGAAAGCAGAACAATGAAACGTTTTTATAAAAAGTGCATTGAATTCGTCATAATACGAATAAAAACAAGATCAACAATTTTTTGTGATTATCTTTCAGTTTAGCAAAAAAATTAAAAAAAAATAAGATATGTTTGCCTTGATGTTGCCTGTCTTTTTGTTGTTTTGATTGTCCTAAACCTTTAATAAGCTGCATTTTAAAAACAGTCTGAAATGTGTCTTAAAGGTTGTGGAATTATCAAGAAAGGCGGACCACAGGAAGAAATATTTTAAGTTTTACGGACAAGCGTACGTCTGCATCTACCAGTAACATCTTAATCTCCAACCTCAAGTTGGATAAGTACAATTTTCATTTTTTGCCAAAATATTTAAAATCCTTTTTTGCAAGGCGTCAGTAAATTTGCAGACGGCTGCGAACATTTCAAAACGGCAAAAGGTCGACATCTATTTAAGCACTACACACGTCTTTCGATTTATGCATTCCTTTAAGGCCTGTCAAACGACTTAGTCCAAACAAAACACGATCCATAGCTTTAGACCTTTTTTATGAATGTTTGTTAGTGATAAAGGGAGAATACACAGTGCCAAGAGATGGGGGAAATCTAGTACTAGCCTACTTACAACAGCAAGCTTCCTCAATGCGGATGATGTTACGTTTTTTCCTGCATTTAAGCTAGGAGGCCGAAAAAATTGAGTTCGATTCATTCCGTTGTGTTTACCAGATTGTGCAAGTTACCATGAAAATCTGTGTTATGCGTATTTCAAGGCTGCTTGGAAGTGAATCGACATTGTTCGGGTGAAATGACATTCATATTACTGCGACAGGTCACGGGAATTTGTCTAGTCCCACAAGAGGGGATATGTTGGAGACTGAACAGTCCTTGCAACAAATTATATTACCACCTGGTGCAATCTACTAAGAGCTGTGTTTGTTGTGGTTTAATAATTACCAAGGTTCTTTTTCCCACTGTTCGTTCAACCGTTATAATGAAGGTGTCAAGTGTAGACAGCAGTCGTGCACTTTAAAAATATCTCTGCTCTGGATTGTTGACACAGGTGGCAGTACGCATGCGCAGCCAAAACCAACCATTGTTGACGTCACCGCGATGTTGGTTATTTTGACAACTTACATGAACAGGGTTCGAAGATTTATTAATAACATGAGGGGCCACAAAGGTGGAGTATAAAGACGTCGATCGAACGAACTCATGGCCGGGAATGAATGGAGGAGGTTAGGCTCTTGTTACTGTTCCTGTTTTTACAGATATGTTCCCGTGTTGGCGCTACGGAATATCCAAGGCTCACGTTCGCTGCGATCGGAGACTTCGGCGGGATCCCACTTCCACCGTATTCCACGTACATGCAAAAGAAGATAGCGAAAGTTATGGGAAAGGTACGAGTTTATAAAGAGTCGCTTTTTGATTTCACGACGCTTTTGCTCTTAGTTTTATGATCCCTTATCTCTTTATTACTGGTTGCTTGTATTCACCTATTCAAATTTAACGGGTGGCCTCTACTTGAACTAGCTAAGGGAACAGAGCTTTTGGCTTTATA